CCCCCCCCCCCCCCCCCCCCCCTCCCGTCCCACGTCATCCCCGCCCCTCCACCCCACTCCAACTCCTTCCCTTGAGATATATCTCCACCGAATTTGGAATCGGAACCGAAAGCGGAAGATTAAGGGCAACTTTGGAAAATAATAACAAACGTAGTGAAGGTCGTTGTGGGACTCAAATTAATCGATCGATGCCATGTAACGAGCCATACCAGGACTTCGAAAAGTGGCTACATCGAGCTTCAAAACCCTTGCAGCTCAGGAACAAACCGTTCAGTGGCTCCTTCTGCAATAATCGTAACGAGGACTCATTTGCGCGCCCACACACGTAGCCGTGGAGCGCGGGAAATCGTTGCGGTTCGAAGTGGGCATTGTGTCGATGACTTGAGAAGAAGGCCACTGCGACGTTTGAGTGTGATTCAGACTCGTTCATTCCCAACTTCTTCATAAATCAGAGTGCTTCTGCTTTAAAGTATCTCGTATGTGAAGGTGTAAACAACAGTTTTGAGGAATCTCTCGGCGAGACACCGTTTCGGAACGATTCTTTGAACTCTTTCATTGATCGATTTCGATTGATTCACTCTTCCTAGCTGTAAGCAATGTCTCTATCATTTTTTGGCTTTGCATTTGAAAAGTTTTTTGTTGTGGTGTGGAGCATCATTGTTTGTTTTTAAGAAACCATCGTATTTACCGGTTTATTTATGCTGCAATTTTTCGTTGGTTCACTAAATCGAATATTTTATTGTATTGCTCGAGTATTATCATTGTAGTTCTAGTGTATAGCGTCCCACTGTCGCGATGGTGGATGCACTTGAATTCGGAGATGTCTTTACGGAGGATATGGGAGTTCTGGTAAGCTTTTGCTGGTAACCAAATTCACATTCAGGAATTTGGGTTCGTTTTTTTGCTCTAAATTACACGCCTATTTTAATTGGAAGTTTATTTTTTTCACGTGCTCAAGCTGAAAACTGACAAGGGGGCAAATTAACAAGAAGTTCCAAACTAATTGTGTTCCACCTTAGAAGATATTGAGGTCGTACGATTCCACACTCGTGTCTTTCGATATCCTGCTCATTTTCGTACCACTGCTGTTTTCTATAGATTCAATTACAAATATCGAGAAGGAATCGCTAGTGATTCAAGAGTGTGCTTAAATTCAGTTTTCTGCTCTTCAATAATATAGGAAATCAAAGGTATTTAGTCTAATACAGTCTAGAACTTCCTCTAGAGACTGGCCATAGTAGAGCCGCTAGTAGCTGTACAACCCTCGAACTGCTGAAATGTGTCCCTTTAGTAGTATAAATGATTAACAACTTCGAGAGTTTCAGTGTAAGTGGTAGAAGTATAGCGATTGCATTGAATCACTCTAGAACGTTTTCTTCGCCCAGGCAATGCCCATACTTTCTTTCTGCAGCTGTTGTGTCCCTCGAGTCTTTACGATCTTCGCAGCTAAAAATGGCACCCAAATTTTTCTATAATGCAATGTACAGTTGTTAGTCTTTTATTTTATTTTGAGAAGATTGACAATTGCTGTATCGCTTGCTGCAGCTTTTTTTCCTTCTTTCAAACAGCTGTCAAGCAATATGTATTGGGTCGTGTAAAATGGTGGCGTTATCACACTAAAGGTACTTCGATCTAAGACAGGAGGGAAACTCCTTCAAATGAATCAAGACTTATCTTAAATTATCGGGTAACTAGTACAACTTTCTTACGATAGGGGTTCAACGCTACCACAATTTTGAATGAGTCCGCATGCTTGGGCGTGCAATGGAATAAAGTGACCAACGGAAGAAATTTTACCTTCCTGAATTTTTATGCCAACCTGCACCATAATTCATCCTTGGAATTTACTAGAAAAGGACTGTTTCTGGAAATCCTTGATCAGGCTAAGTCGATGTAACTCTAGACGTTTCTTCGATGTTTAGGGTACAAAAGTACTCAATGTCCCTACAATAAACGTTCAAATTTCGGTCAAATGTCAGCTTTAACTTTAGATCTGGGTGAATCTGATTTAGACAATGCAGTTTACAGTATTTTGCGCCCATTATAGAATCCAGGACGTGTGAAACTAGCAGAATCCATGATCCAGTTCAAAAATGAGAAGACTGGAAAGCTGAGCACAATTAACGCCTCAGACTTGGACGGCTTGAATTGGCAGAGACTCGGAAATCGACCAGGTCTGAAGATGCGTTGCTCAGACGGGAAAAAAATTCGTTTTGGGGGCTTCAAAGATTCAGTGAGTTGGCATATTTTATGGATGCGATCCTTCAGTTTGCTCTCACTCCTTTTCTCGTTGAGCTCATTAAATCTTGTCTAGGACTTGGAGAAAATCAGACAGTTCGCTCAGAAAAATTGGCATAAGGAGGTAGAACATAATGATCTCGTGTTGAAGGGTTGGAACTATGGCACCTGCCAAGTTGACGGTACGTTCTTGAAGCTTTAATCAAATCCGTTGATTTAATCTGAGAATTTCAATCGCACGCTTCAGGCCAATCTGTCGAGTTCACACTGGAGAACAAACCCGTGTTCGAAGTGCCGCTTTCGAACGTCGCCAACTGCGTCGGAAATAAAAGCGAAGCAACACTTGAATTCCATCAGGTTCGTTTTACCTTTACAGTCTAGCCGTTTTGAAGTTGTTTGAGTTCATTCGCAGAACGATGATTGTCCTACTTCCCTAATCGAAATGCGTTTTCACATGCCTGCAGATGTGGATGAGGAAGAATCAGATCCTGTTGAGGTTTGTTGTGCTCCAAGCAACTTATTGTAGTGGATACATTGACTGACTTGTTAGTTATTGCGATTGAATCCTATCGCTATCTGTCAACTCTGTGAATGTATCAACATTTTACAGGAGTTCCGTAAAGCTGTAATGGCCTTTGCTGGTATTGAAACAGAGACTGGACAACCTGTTGCTTCGTTGCAACAGATTTTATGTACTACTCCTCGGTATGCTCTTCTAGCTTAATTTGCCTTTTTTATCAAATGCTTCAGTGTTTTGAATCACCAAAACGTATTAAACATTGATTAGCCCCATAGGTTTTCCTTCTTTGAAACATGTTTAAATACTTACTTCACTTCTAGAGGACGTTACGATATCAAGGTGTTTCCGAATCACCTATCACTTCATGGAAAAACATACGATTACAAAATTCCTATCAAAACAATCATGCGTCTTTTCCTTGTTCCCCACAAGGACGGTCGGCACGTGTACTTTGTTGTAAGTTTACCTTCAAATTCTGTTATTGATTGATCAATTAGATATTCGTTACGATCTCAAGGAATTCGGAATTTTTCATTATTTCAGATTTCTTTGAATCCTCCAATTCGTCAAGGGCAAACTCGTTACCATTACCTCGTTCTTGAATTTCTCAAGGAAGACGAGATTGACCTTGAACTTGGGCTGACCGAGTGAGCTTTTTTGTTTTGTTTCGGTTCAGAGCAGTCTGTTAAACGTTTATCTTAAGGCAGCAGCTCAATGATCAATATGGCGGAAAGTTGGAAAAAGAACTGTCCGGTCCGCTTTACGAAGTTGTTTCGAAAATTTTCCGTGTTCTCATTAACATGAAGATTACTGTTCCGGGGAATTTCATCGGGTAAGTGCTGTAGTTTTTCCCTCACTTTGTCATTAATGCTCAGGAATTTAGATGTTCCATTAATAGTTTGAAAGGTAAGCTGTGCCTATAGCAATAGTTTTCAGGCATTCTGGTACACCAGCTGTTATGTGCGCTCACAAACAGGCTTCCGGATTCCTTTATCCTTTGGAAAAAGGTTTTCTTTACATCCACAAACCGCCCATGTACGTTCGATTCGAAGAGGTCTGTGCTATGTCTAGGAAAAAGTCTATTTCCATTGCTCATCCGTTTTCTACGTTCTGTTCCATAGTCTATTTCCATTGGAGGTTGCATCCGTTCATTTCGCGAGATCTGATGTTTCTACACGTTCATTCGACTTCGAGATCGAGCTCAAGTCTGGCCAAGTGCTTGTATTCAACAGTGTGGAGAAGTGAGGGCATTCAAACTTTTGCCGTCCTGATTTTACATAACTCTTGTCTTACTTGAAAGCATTCCAGAGAGGAGTATAACAAACTCTACGATTACGTACAAAACAAGCACTTACGCATTCGTAACGCAAAGAAAATGGTGCGTCCTCATTTCGTTTTGCTCAGTTGCTAGTACGTTCACCTTACCATTTCGTTTCAGGACAAAAACTATGCCGAAGATCGGTTTGCTGGTTCTGATGATGAAATTGATCCTTATAAAGAGACCGTGAAAGCAGAAGGAAAAGAGCGCGCTGGAGCAGATTCTGATGATGACTCAGATTCCGAGGATGACGACTATGACCTAGATGAAGATATCAAGAAACGCAAACAAGATCGCGAATCAAGTGAGGGGAGCGGGTCTGAGCCAGATGAAGAATTCGACTCAGATGCTGGGTCCAGTGACGAAAGCGGATCTGGTGGTTCAGATGATGAAGCTTCACCTAAAAAGAAGAAGAAGGTAGTGAGATTCTCTGCAGGCTGTTGAGTGACTCACACATAATATTTTCAGAAGGAGAAGGAAGCCAAACCAAGGGAAAAGAAGGAAAGGAAAGAGAAAAGTGGAGAGGGTAGGAAAAGGCGTGAGAAAAAAGAGAAGGATCCTAACGCTCCGAAGAGGGCTCAGTCTGCATACTTCCACTGGCTCAACGAAAACAGGGCAAAGATAAAGAAGGCGAGTTTCTAATCGTTTTTTTATTCAATAAGAAATTATTTTTGTGCATTTTTCTAGGATGGCGATTCCGTAGCTGATGTTGCGAAGCGAGCTGGAGAAATGTGGAAAGCCATGGACGCAGAATCAAAGGCGGTATGTTTCAGCTCTAGGTTGCATCGAAGTTTTCTCAAAGCTCCCAATGTTCCTTAGCCATGGGAGAAAAAAGCGGCTGCGGATAGAGAGCGCTACGAGTCTGAGATGAAGGAATTCAAGAAAACTGGTGCCAAGGCCCCCTCATCAGAAACGACTTCAAAGAAATCCTCGGGACCGTACGTCGCTCTTTCTTTTTCTCTGTTTTTCTAACTGATCATATGAAAGTCATCGTGTTTAGTTCGCCACTGAAAGCAAAATCTAAGGAATATATAAGTGACAGCGATGACTCCGATGACGATGACGATAAACCATTGAGACCCAAAGAGAAAAAGGATAAAGAAGTCAAAAAGGAAGTGAAAGAAGAGGTGATTATCAGTTTAAATCCAAACCTTTCATTAAAAAATCCCGCCATTTCAGTCAAATTCTGATGCAAGCGATTGATTGATCAATTCCGGTGTTTCGAGCGTTGGGGTGTTGATGTTCTATATAGTTACTTGAAAGTTGTTAATTTTATAAAAGGAATGAAGATCTCAGCTTTGCTTGTTGGTACCAATCAATAGCTTTTATCAATAACGCACATCAACAAATTAAACAGTAAACTCAACAAAAAGAAAGGATTCAGAGCTCAAGCGCTATTGAGTTTCAATCGTAGCACGCGCAGTTTCCCGTCACTTCCAGCAACCGCCAGCTCAGAACGATTTTTCGGATTAACTCTGAAATGCAGCTACGTGACCCTTAAATAGAACTTTTAGAAATACTGTTCGATCTACCTCAATCGTGTAATCGGGCTATCCACGACCACTGAAGGTACAAAAAGGTGTGACAGGGGTTTGAGTTGATTTTGCAGTATACCCAGTAGCATCAATGAGCCGTCTTGAAGTCCAGCAGCAATTACACCAGCTCTAAAGAACTTTAGAAATGCAATACAATCGTCAAGTTAGATAAGTTTAACAGGGAAGAACTTTTGTAAACTACCTCAGTTCAGTTCCGCAGCACACAACGACACTTGTAACTGGTTGTGGGCACTTGAAAGAGCAGACGGGAGCTGTATTTTCGTCGTTACATTTCCATATTATTACCTAGACCACATATCCAGTCTTACAATAAGCATTGTAAACAGTAGATTTCAGATATTTTGAAGTGCAGCATTACACTGTACTAACTCTTTTAACAACATTTGGATCACGTGCGCTGAAGCCCTTGCGCAGTTTTTGCCTCAGGCATCACCGGGTCCAAAAATGTTTTACCTACGCTCGTTTCAGCCCGATGGGGTAAAACTTCAAACAAGCTGGCGTCTCAGCAGCCAGTTAGGGTAATGTTGAGGGTAAAGTGAAATTTTGAAAAGTGTTCCGCAAAAAAGTCCTAATCCTTTTTGCGGGAACTAACCGACTTTTAGAGTATTTGTTGTTGCTAGCTCTATAAAATTTAACCAACCTTCATATCTCTTGCTGCAGTTACGAAGTGCTGGGAATCTTCATACCAACAACACGTCCATATTATTCTTGAGTGTTCTTTATTAGACGACCACAATTTCTCATAGGAAAAACCGTTCACTAAACATTTGGCTGTGCTTAGTATTTGAAGGAAGAACATCCGTTGAGCACCCTCAAATCATGCAAATTCACTTACGAAGCCCATTCTTTTCGTGATAGAGAATCGCCTTGCGGTCTCTACCGACACTGAGTAACCGCGTACCAACTGGATTCCACTCTAACTGCGTGACCGTTAATTGATGTCCTGATGGCAAAAGTGGGTGCATGCTCATGACAGAATTAAGACTGCAAAGGTTCCAAAGTTTGAAACTAACCAGATACTTCGGACTTCTTGCTAAAATCCGCGGTGTCCCACAACACAATCGCGGCATCTTCAGCTTGACTTGCCTTAAAGGCAATTTATGCAATGACTGGATCAAGGAATGCAGCGGAAAAGAACATTGTTCTCTTGAGTGGCGATGTATGGTGTTGTTTTAGTGAAACACGTTTGGAAAGAATGGCAGAATAGACTCGGAAGCCGCTACCCTGCTCCTCAGCTCCAACACTTATGGGTTGTGCAAGCGAACTTGCAATTAGAGCCCCAAGTCCACTTTTTCCAAGCCGCGTTTTACCGGTGTAACACCACATATCGACTTAGCAGAAAGAGTTCCTTCCCTGAACGTCTATAACTCATAAGAATGATCCGAAAAACTATCATATTTATATTATTTTGGAAAATGTTTCTATCTAGAAACACAATGAAAAGACCTCAAAAAGAGATTCGAGGAAATTGCATGCAATCATGCAAAGAGAGACTGAAGCCGTAGAGTTGTCTTTACTTGATTCGAGGCGGCTGGAAACAGTCTTACCACATTTGCTGTGTGGTGATCTCAGGGTCACCATTAGTGAAATTCGGGATGGGTGTTTGACATGTCCATTTGCCTGTCTATCGCGGCATTCAGCATTACCCAACGAAGCGGCTGGAGAAGTCGGGCAAAGCGTGGGATAAGTCGTGCGCAAGCAAGACCGGCAAAGCACATGGGAGCTCAGCGAAGTTTCACCCAACAGGGACAGACCTGTACCAGAACAAGCAGTGCAATGCTTCCTAATTCGATTCCAAAACAACTCATACACAAAAAAGAAAGGGCAAAATTGTGATAAGGGCGAGGTGGACGTGCTCGAGACTGAGACGAAATTTTGACTACTCTGACCAAGAGCATGTTCTGAAGCCGGGGTTTACTTTGTAAAAAAGCTGCTGACATCTGTCGCTTCCTTCAATTTAACCTACCTCTGCCATATTCCCCGTCTTTTCTCATAGACTTCGCTCGTTTTCATATGCACCTTATCCCTCAATTCCGTATAGAGTTTTAGGATTTTGTAGCAGGCACCTACTAGTTGGGAATATGCCTCGTTCGTCGGGAGCGGAGCCCTTCTAACTATAGATAGTAACGCCTCTTTAACAAGCCTGATACCGTGCTCGAAGAGCTGAAACTTGCTCGTTGTACCAGATTTTCAGTCTCTATGCGGTCCTGAATGGAATTTTGAATTTAGTAAGTATTAATAATCAAGATATTACAGTGTCTACCGCGAGTGGCTTCCATTCTCCTCAAACCTCGCAGGCAAGACTCAGGATAATTTTGGTTTTAGACGAGTAATGGAAGTGATAGTCTAGAATGGAGCAAAAGCGGCGAAGAAAGCGCAAAAATCGGACCTATGGGATATATAGGGTTTCAATAGAAAGTAAAATTAGGGGCTGGATGAGAATGTCACTAAAGAAGCAGCATGGAAAATGTATTTGGACGAGCTTTTCGAATGTGCGCACAACTGCATACAGCTGGCTGCAGTTGTGCGGTCTTAATTATTTTTTGACCAGACAGCGTCATTTAGGCTATCCTTGGGAGTCACATGTTCATCTCAGGGAGAAATTTCAGGAACTACTTCAATGTGAATTGTTCCTACAACCCTCTGCTTACTTAAACCCATGTCCTCAATATCTAGGCTGTTTGGAAGCAGACTAGGTAGCAACACCTTCCTAACCGCACGTTCAGGCACATTTCTTGTAGGAGAAGCTTTTACAGCTTAGGTGGTCTGTTCATCCTGGCGTAGCATCATCTTCCCAGTTTGGCGTGGCCTCACCACATGTTTCTTCAGATGGTAACGGTTTTTGTGAAATACCCATACATACACACGCCACACACAAGTAAACACGCCCAGCAGACACATACACACAAACCTAGTTACAACTTCACCTACACATACGCATACACGCATTCATGTACTCATACACCTACACGTACAAACATATACATACACATCGTTATACCCACATACATAAAATATACAAAAAGAAAATGAGTGGAGATGGCCGTGATGTATTGACTGCGATAAATTACAACTTTCAATCATACCTTACAAGAGGTAGCAAGTACAGTGGCAGATGGGTTAACTGCAACAGCGTACACTTCGTAGCCGTGACTGTATAGCTTGTAAATCTCTGGCCACAGCGTGTTTTGCTGTAAGTAATCCTCCGTGGGCGCAGCTGAAAACCAGGTGGAAATAATGACACCAGGCGTTAATTGAACATTCCTTCTATCATTTCTTTCAATGTTTTTGCAAAGCTCAATTCACAAACCGTGAACTTCACCAGGTGTAGCCTGGAAGGCTGCTTCTTCCCAATGAGCTGTATCACCCTCAGATGGAGCTCCTCCAAGATCATCAATTGCTTTATTGGACAGACCCAAAGCGGGAACTCTTGCACCATAAGCTGGGAAAGCACAGTCTCCGAAAACCTTAACGAAAACATATCGAACATGATCAAAGTTGGAATATTACAGCAGTGACTGCCAAGGAGGTCGGACCGTAAGCCACCCTGAGGTCAACTATGATCACTTCTGCCAAAACAAACTCGTTGAAAGCTACGATTGAAAAATTCCTCTACCCCACAGACAACAGCATACCTCAGGGTGGCCTTTTCTAAATTCTACTAAGAAAACTTACCTCCACTATTTCTAAGCCAGTGATATTACAAACACTCCTCGCAAAGGCTGCAGGTGCCTGTAGTGCACGGAATATCTTTTCTTCAGCGCCGGTTACTATGATGGAGCTGTAATAGCCAAATTGGGATTTGCTCTATTACTGTAATGTTAAGAAAACTAGCCAGTTACCTGGACACCACTGCAATACACTGCATGCTGTGACCGTGAACCTGAGGTCGTGCCAACTCGATAAACCTTTTTTCCTCCTGCAAATGATGAATTCACTTCAGGGGGACTCCTAAATAAGTAGCAATCACCTTTTGCAGGGCATACACCCTCGTAGTCTTATCTTCACCGACGGAAATAAACATCTTCCCACAAGGATGCCACGCAACGTCACGCACAACACCGACATGGCCACTACACACGNAAAGAGGATCTATTATATTCAAAAGACCTTGCTCAAAGACCATGCGTAAAGCCCTCCAGTGTAGGAAAAAGCCACAACTTGCTGAGCATTGGGCGAAAACGCTGCGCCAAAGAAGCCAGCAGCCTGTCCACCCACAATTCCTAATCGCACCTATAACTATTGGTTGTCTATTAAATAAATGTTCATCAATTCAGAGGCTGGGCGATCGTACCACATCACTCCAGAATTGCCCGTCACAAGTCTCCTTCCAAATGATGACGGTTTTATCACTGGAAGAGGTGAGCAGGGCACGTCCAGTCCTATCCCAACATGTCGAATGTATCCAGTCACCATGACCAGCAAGCACGGCTTCGATGCTTATTGACAGTGATAGTTCTCAAAGACAGAATATGTTCCCGGGAAGAATTCTCGTGGGATGAGCTCATAGAACTCACCACCATTGGCACCATTAACTTTGAAGCTATTTTTGGTGACATTTAGCTCATCAAGATCCTCTTTCTCTGTTTCATTTTCAATGCGCCACAATTTGACATACGAATCTTGACCCGCTGTGGCCAGAAGGATCGGGCATGACTCTGAAAGAATGGGGATACTCAAGATTGGCATGTATCAAGACAAACACATAAAATGAGATTACACGCAACGATTGAAAGCAATGGAGTGCACCCAGTCGTCATGAGCTGCGATTGAAAGAACTCTTTTCATTTCCTGAAAACATAATGTAAAAATGAAAGCGTGATAGAGGAGGGCAAATTAGGACCAACCTTAGAGCAAGCAGTCTCACAGTAGAGATCGATAGTTCTTCTAGTAGTACCCAAGGCAAGAAGCACAACTCCTGTAGAAGAAGTTAGTTCACTTCACAGCATGATTAAAGGGATCCATAGCATTTCTTGACGTACAGATAGCGCTCTTTTATAATGAGACGAACTACATATTTCTACGGTACATTATAAAGTGACCTCCATGCTTGCCTTTCTTGAAAATTGTGCATTCGCTATTTTATCAGTATCCAATGCTTTAATAAATAAGTTTTTCAACAGTGGTTTTCTAGTTCGGCTGACGTTTCGATCGCTCCTCGCTTTTGAAGGTCTGAAAGCGTCTCGAAACTTCTAGAGCTTTACATGTCACACTGACACTTGATATAGACCAACACCTGATCCTTATTGTTTATTCAGAATGAATCATTGAAGAACTCCGGCGTTACCTAGCAGCGTTTAAAAAAGTCTCATGTCTTCACGCTGCAGACAATCGCAGTTTTCCCAGGCTTATCTCGAATAAACAGCTTGGATCAGAAGGCAGCCGACCCGATAACCAGCATCTAGAAGGACTACCGATCGCTGCTCTGTGTGTCAACGATGTTATGGTACGTGGCTTAAAAAGGATCTATGTTATTTCTTGGCCAATTCACCCGACTCAAAACTTTCGCTTAACTCCGGCAACATGTAAGCCCGTGCGATGGCCCGATCGAGGTGACGTTTTGCGCCGGGCTTATTTCTCATTCTGTAATGCAAAATGACTCTGCATAAAAAACCAGAGATCCACGGATGTAAACTTCTAAGAGGGTTTGTTATGCTTCCGAGCAAACATAGCCCAAAGCGCTTGTTACTCTCTAAAAAAAATGCGAGAAGTGTAGGAAGTTGCTTTGGTCCGGACTAATTTGCAATGTTACTGCTATTGCAATAACCGTTATCTTCCAAACAAAAGGCCTCGAAAAAAGTGAACCGTTCATTGTTCACATAACACTACTTGTTGGTTTAATAATTAGTCGATATCGGATATGGTAAACTGTTTAAACCCGCTCTTCAATTACTTTAGGGCCAATCCGAGGTTATGAAAATAAATGGTGGACTTGCATTGGGTGACGTTTTGCGCCGGGCTTATTTCGCACTCTGTAATGCAAAATGACTCTGCATAAAAAACCAGAGATCCACGGATGTAAACTTCTAAGAGGGTTTGTTATGCTTCCGAGCAAACATAGCCCAAAGCGCTTGTTACTCTCTAAAAAAAATGCGAGAAGTGTAGGAAGTTGCTTTGGTCCGGACTAATTTGCAATGTTACTGCTATTGCAATAACCGTTATCTTCCAAACAAAAGGCCTCGAAAAAAGTGAACCGTTCATTGTTCACATAACACTACTTGTTGGTTTAATAATTAGTCGATATCGGATATGGTAAACTGTTTAAACCCGCTCTTCAATTACTTTAGGGCCAATCCGAGGTTATGAAAATAAATGGTGGACTTGCATTGAATATACTCTCTCAAATATTTCTGAACTACTGTATAGCAATCGTGTTCGGACTACAGTAGCAGTAGATTGGTGAAAAGATCGCGCTAGTACATTATTTTAGGAAGTTATCTTCTTAGATTAGCATGGGCTTTTCGGCTAAATGGCTCAGCCGTTCATTGACTGCATGATGCGCTGTTTTTCAATGATACAATTAGATCCTCTATCAGAGTTCTCCAACGCCGATCGGAGATCAGTTGGTTTCCTCCACACCTTTTCGTCCACACCCCACCATCAAGTTCAAGAGACATTCCCTTAATCAGGATAACTTGATACATTTACTAAGACTCTTCTTCATACGTCCTCTTATACGCCAAAGTTATCAATTCTAAAGAAATACGGCTCAGCTAAGGATCCTTCCTCGACTTCTCCATGTTTTAATTTTACGGTGAAGCCAGGAAGGAGATGAGCTTGTTCATTGTGCGCCAAAGTTATTTCTGGGTGATCGATCTAGCGCTTCGGCGACTAAGGTAAATGCAAGTCCCGTAGTACTCGTGTATCGATCGGATTGATGAGAGGGGGATTCAAAGATTTGCTTAGATATCATTTGGCCTCACGTAAAGATCGATCTCAATTGGTTCTTCGATTTTCAGGCTCTGACGAAAGTGAAACAGTCGAAACGTTAGTCTAATAAAGTTAGGAATTTTAACACACCTACAAGCCCATGCTCCAAGCAAAAATTGAGGGAAAGACGTTCATGGTCTATTCTGAGTCTGAACATTTGTTCATTCTTGCTTCCACGTGCTCCCTTTTTTTCGGTGAGCTCATCACTCATACATTTATCAAATATGCTTTCCGTACTACCTATCAATCCGTAACAACACTTAGGTAACCTTCTTCTCTTCAACCTGCTTTGTTCTTTCAAAGCCAAACATCAATCCATTTTGAGGTCCATGCATCAAACGATGCTTGACTGAACGGTTTTTTTTTCTAAGGAAGGGGATGAATCATTTAGAAAGCAATTCTCACCTTTTTTCTTTTTTGAAAATCGCCTCGAAAAGGCTCAATAAGCTTACCATTTGGTAGCATCTGCATATCGGCATCAACTGCAAACACCGTTCCCAAGTCATCGATATCAAACGAATTGCTGACAGACACCGTGCCCTTCAAACGCCCCAACCACCAAATACGCACTCCCGATTTGGAGTCATCGACCTATAGAGTAAGTGGGATAATAGATAATAAGCTGAGGAATTGTAGAAACGTACAAACATGAAAAGGGGCAGCTTCTAACGCCTCCTACTACAGAATTCGCTCCTCCACGATTAAAGAGCTCCACGATTTTTCAACTACTACCTATGGTGTCTGAGAAACGAGGGCTTGCTTGAAGAAGTTCACTAGAAAGCGAGCAATGAGGCAGTAGTCGCTGTTGAGGTATGTGTGCATTTACACAGTCTTCGATTTTGGGGACTGAAGGTTTCACTCGTAATCGTCATTGACATTAGGTCGTTTACAAATGACTAGATTCACTTATAATGGCTTCTTGGACCGAAATTTCTCCTCTAATATCCCAGGTTTTCAGATCAGTCAACTTGACAAGTCTGCACAAAAAGAGGGTAGAATATCAGGCTTGCGAAGTGAGAGGAATAGGTTTTCTATGGACTCAAAAGTTAAGCGTTGATTCATGAAGAGCTTTCAATCAAGACTTTCTTCCATGATTCCGCATTTTAGACAGCAACTTATACGTATGTTTTCTTGTGAATGGTTCGGATAGGAAATATTTTGGTCCCACCTCTGCTTCACTTCCGACCGAATTTCAACATAATTGCGGTAGTGAGCCAAGCCGGGAAGGGAAGTACTTCTGGCATCTCATCTCACTTGCCCTTCAATCACGGTGACAATACCGTTAGAGCAGTGACATTTGTGTGGTATATACAGGTGATGATGTAAAGCAGGATGAGCACATGCTGCGGTAACGCTGATAGCGTTACCCAACGCGCTTTGGAAGGGCGATGCTCGGTATGCACACGCAATGCAGGAAGGAGGCCGAAGTTCGAGCTCTCCAATCGAATGAAGATCAAGGAAGCCGTTCCAAAACCGTAGATCAGGTGGGCCTGGCACGTTAAACGATATGATGATGATGTTGTACCAGGGCTGGATCCCTCGATACGTCAAACGAACCCCAGGACGGCCGCCTACGATATCGTCAGACTTCTTTACGAACGCTCTGAACGAAAGGAATGCTGAGCCTCGGGTTCCTGAAGCAGAGACGATTCAATGGACCACTCCGGCTCGTGACAGGGACGATGGAGACGTTACTGGCGCCCGCTCGAGGAACTCGACGATCAGCTGAACAACAGGTGATACCGATGGTGTAAGTGCAAGTACGGTTCAAGAAGACTGGAGAAGAAGCAAACAACTCTCAAACCTTGGAGGAAGGATCACTTCAGAAAAAAAAGCTTGTTGTCAATCAAAAAATGAAAGTGCGTGAAGATATTAATCAAGCAGACGATACATAGATTTCGTCTTCCTGCAAAGGAAAAAGTGATTGAGGTAGTTTCCGGTCCAGCTACTTTGTGTCTACTCGACCACCACCTCGCATCCATCAAATTCAGTTAGGGCCAAATTATTATCGAGGCGAAACAAATCAAAAGCGCAATTTTATCTTTTGAATAGTAGATGGCTCGATCTGAACGCATAGAATCTTGTGGGAACCAATTCAGTCGAAAGAATGATATTACATACTCGTTAGCCCATCCCATGTTTAATACATGTAACGCGACCACTGCCCTCTAAAACTAAAAATAAATAGTAATACCCATGAGGCAGTCACGATCACTTGATCCTGCGATGCTATACCACAGAGAGTCCCGACAGCACCCTTGACTTCTGCAATAATGTGGTCTGACATCTTACTAAACGATAGTACCAGATTTTCAAAAGCATCTCACGAATGGAAAAGAGGAACTTGCCTAATGAAACCAATTGGCTTATTTTCAGATTCGCAGATGCAGCACAGTACACAATGACTTTGCCATCAGAGCCTCCACTCAGAAACAGATCCTCTAAACATCGGACGAATCAAATTGAAATCCTCAACGTCTCTCTTCCAATCTTACTCCTGATAACAATACCTCTTTACTACATCAAAATGGATCAAAATGGTTCCGTCTAACAAAAGAGAGCAGCAGTGTAACCATATGCACTTCTAGAAGAATAGTTCAAAGTCAGGAAATCGGAATTCCATACCCTTTCGCGAAAGATTTCTCGAATGCGGTTTATACATAGAGTTTCGAAATGCTTATGGTTAGAAGACAAAAGAATGGTAAAATGAAGTAGTGTCAAAAGACAACGATAACAGATGATTCATAAATCGAGTTGTGGCGAGCAAGTTTCTAACCCCTTCGAATTGCCAAACAGCTAGACAATAATTGAGAACCTACCCCAATCTTCGTCCTGTCTAAAGTGAGGACCTTAGTGAGTGAGTAAGAACCTTAACATTAGTCAAAGGCTAGAGTACATAATTCAACGCCACTGCATTACTTATACATGGAAAGTGCCCTAGGTTCTAGGAGAAGGCAAAAAAAATGTACAGAAAGAAACCTTAAAAAATGGATTAAAGACGTTCGTGACTGATGAAGTCACCAGAATGACCAAAATACCTTCATCTCGATGGAGAACCCTCGTTGCTACTCGCTTCAACGCAGTGATTGGACCTTTGTGATGCCGATGGGAAGTGGAGACAGTGTGGCCGAACGATGACTGAAACTTGGACGTTTAAACGACAATTTTTGAAAAGTACAATTTTACACACAACAGAAAATTGACAAAACTCCATCGCCACTAAGCTCTGAAACTCATTTCATCCCTGTCTTCCTCAATTTTTATGAGAAGTTCAGAGCAATCGTTCATTGCCAACCAATATATGTATGTAGGTGAGGAAAATATGATGAATTCAGTCTTTGGAAGATTTAATGTGTCGAATGTGATGACAATTCCCAAACATAACGCTCTGGGACTGCTTTGGAGGTATCAAAAACTATCTATGTCACTATACAGAAATTTCCTGAAGTTTTGCTTTCCGCTGTCTCGATTGAGACGAGCTACTATATCGTCGGCAATAAAAATCAACATCGACCGATTTTGATTTATTGCCTCCAACCGATGTAGCCAATTTAGAACTTCTATTTGCTGAGATTTCGACCGTCATGTGATCGAAAAGAATCAAAGTAGGGCCACACTGCGGCTAAGAGGGGACAATTTATGACCTGGACACAACATCATAAATTGATCCGTATTGATTGGATATCGATATAAACAGTATCAGTACGCTCCCTATAACAAATCGCTTTCATCTCCACGTTTACCTGACATTTTGTGGACTGAGTAACAGATTACATGCAAACATACACCCAAAATCGTGGTTTGTATATAGAGAATAGGAAGATTTCCAAATTGAGATGATTTGAGCTGTCGAAGTAATCTCAAATAAACCTATCAAACTCACCCCGGGGAATGTTTCCAAAACCAGTTGTCCATCGGATGCGAAAACAAAATGATCACTGGCGCTACAAGCGGCAAGGCAGTGTGAACGTGGATTAACACCAGCGGAAATGAACACTTCTTCCACGTCTTCCATTTCACACCATAAACCTTAAAAACGTGGATAGGCCACTGTAATTCTGCTAGGCTGCTCATGAGTAAACTTTTTATACGATTTTCTGCAATTGGCCTATCTTCCTAAATGGACAAGTTTCGAAAATTTTGGGATTCTTTTAGTTTTGGTCGTTCCTTGAAATCATGGAGATCCGTAACTTTGTTAGCTGGTACTGTAATCTAACAAGCTGAATACAATGTAAGGTTTTGCCCGGAACATCATGGAGCTTTCAAAAAGGACCAGCCCTAGTAGAGAATGGTGCAAGTCTTAAGAGATGCTTAAATCCAGAAATATGAAAAACGGACGTCAAGGATCGCATCCTCTAGAATAGATGATCATCAAGTGATACGACAGAAGATATTCGATCCATCATTCAGTGAGCTAGCAGAAGAGCCTGTTCCTGGCGTTCACTTAGGGACTGTTGAAACCCTCGTGCGGGACTGGAATAGAAAGAACTAGCTTCGTCAGTAAATTCATNCTTAAGAGATGCTTAAATCCAGAAATATGAAGAACGGACGTCAAGGATCGCATCCTCTAGAATAGATGAACATCAAGTGATACGACAGAAGATATTCGATCCATCATTCAGTGAGCTAGCAGAAGAGCCTGTTCCTGGCGTTCACTTAGGGGCTGTTGAAGCCCTCGTGCGGGACTGGAATAGAAAGAACTAGCTTTGTCAGTAAATTCATCATGACCTGACAGCTAGAGATTAGGTAATGCGTGGCTATACTTAACTTTTTCACTGCAATAAGGACAAACCGTTCCAATGAGGAGCTGGTGACTGCTTCTGACTAGTTAATAAGCTTCGATGTAGCCTAAATTCTGACCAAAAGAAACCTCTAGCGAAAAAGGTATCCTTCAAGGGTCGCTTAGAAGAATTGCCATACTCGGTCCATGTCCAAGGGAGGTAATCCTCATATCCCACCGTGTGATGTAATTCACCTCAGAGTCTGGCACTGATTACCAACAAAGTGGGAACTATTATGATCTAATGAGCAAGGCGTTCGAGGGATTGGGGAATCGTACGATTCACCGGTCAGAGAAGGAGCCCAACCTTTTGGTTAGGTCTCATATCACAAACTGGGCATTTATTTCATACCCCATACCTCCCGCTATATCGCCATTGTGGAACATCGGTTTCACATGCCTCGGAAGAAAATTATGAAAGAGACCATTTTTTTTGAAGGTGATGTTAGAACTACTCCCAACAGTTTTTGGACTGTATGCATTCATATTTTACCGCACAGCAATCACACACTCGTGTGGAACTTGAACGAATTGTATTGATTTCATACTTCTCATTGAGGAGAGAGTACTTCTACCAAAGCCACAATTCATCAGACTCACTAGTTTAAAACGAAAGGTAGTTTTTGGACGATCTAGAACATGCGCTCCGAGCAACATCCAATTTTTGTTTTGATCAATGAATGCCACATATACACATGTAAACGCTGGATGATTACAGTTTATGATGAAAGCAATTTAAACAGAAACAATTTATTTCCCAACAAAACAGATGTCAAAAACATTTAACGAAGTCTTCTCGCTTCTCTCTCGGCCTCCAGCAGAGTCAAGATATCCCCTTCGCGGACAGGTCCTTTCACATTTCGAATAATGGATCGGTTACCATTGTCGTCCATAAATTCAACACGAACCTAAATGTTGTTGTATTGAAAAGCATAGCTGTATAACGATGCTAAAAGCTTGGTTCAACTTTGGAAAATTTAAAAATGAACTTTAGTCATCTGAGAGGTTTGGAGGCATCAAGGAATTTAAAAATTGGTGGTACCGATTCTGTTAATATATAGTGTTTGCTTTTTGGGTTTCTGTCACTTTCAGAGTTTTTCATTTTCATTTGAATGTTCCGCTGGACAGACTTAACTTGGAGACCTTTGGAAGTCGGATCTTGGCGAATGATGATGATCAAATGATCGAAGCTTTTTATTGGTGCGCAAACTCCTCCGAGGGTTCCCGAACGCTGCCATTCTGTTCTGAATACCCACCCCCTTTCTCATACTTTCACCCCTACCATTTGCTGGTTACTTTTTTTTTATCACTTATCTGCTTTCTAAATTATTCTGTTATTTTGTTCTAACTTGACAACCAATTATGAATTTTAATATAAGTGCAAACTCAGTTCTTAGAAAAATGAAATAAGGAGAGTTGTTTTTATTGAAGGGACAAAGGAAAGAGATCGAAACCCGTTCCCGGTTGGAGCAAAGATGTTACCAACAACCACCATGAAATGAAAAACTAGAATGACCGTGAGCAAGGCATTCTTGCTTCTGCGCTGAAAGCTGGCACTGGTATGATTATCGGTATTAAAAACGAGTAATGAGAAAGTGAACCCAGTTAAACGCAGCGAAATCAAAGAGAATTACACACCTGGAGTGATAAAAAGGTAAGAAATAGAGCGAACCGTTAGACGCGAAGGGAAATAGCCGTCGAAACTGCTTTTCAAGTGCAACGGGGGTTTGTAAAGATGGCCCGAAGTTAAAACCTAGTCCAGCGATGAAAAACCCTTTGATCAGAAAGCGATGACAAGAAATTCATAATCCAACAGGCCAAGCTATTAAAGATTGACGTAAAAATGCGAAACAGAGAAGTTGATCGAATTGAATTGAACAAACATTACCGTAAACACCCACTGCAATTAAAAAATATTCGATCGCACGACAGTGAAGGATATCTATCTCGTTATTTATTCCAAAACACATGGCACATGAAGAGATGGCGAAACCATCATAACTAACACTAAGCTTCCGAGAGGTAATCTGATGGCGTGAATCAAGATGTATGTAGTATGTGACTCCCAGACCCCATTAGTAATGGAGGCCTAAAGACAGGAAATGATAGGAGGCGGAAAAAAGGAGTTATGGTGGACTTGAATGTGAAGGAATTGTGCAGAATTGAAGAAGGAACATTTTAGGCAATAAAATCATTACAGAAAACATAGATGAGTAAAATTAGCGGTACACAAAGTATTCACTACTTCTACTCATCGTCAAATCACCAAAAAGGCTTGTTAAATTCCCTTTCAGGTAAAAATTGCATTGCAAAAAATTGCAGGATGGGAGATAATAAGCAATAAGATGGAAACACTAAAACATGTCTGATAATAAGCATATAACTGGGACTCGTAAGACCCACTAGGGGTCAAGACAACTCATGAGGATCATGACCGTTCCAGATGGAAGATGGGAGCGTTTCAGGGGGAGGGGGGATGGACAGCTGAACATCTCACCGCACCATAGCCTTTTTCATCCGCTAACTACGTCCGTTATTTAGAGCAATAAAAAAAGTCTAAATAATTAGCTGTTGGTCGGTAAAATGTGGATCCTTTATGTCATAATCTGCAGATGATCAATAAGGAATAGGAGCATTTCTAATACGATAATCTGAATAAATAGTTCTAAAACCAGAAAAAAAAACCAAATAACTTAGTGAAGAGCCATGATTTGAATTATGGACGACATAAGCAACCTCTGCTGACAACTGCTACTCAACGGCATTGGAACTGAAAGTTTCCTTTATTACGCCATGTACGTAACCATTGCAACTTCTCGGTTGCTTGAAACCCATGCTTTAGAACATTCCGAAGGTTTTCCTCTAGCTGGCTCCAAGGCATTCTATAGGAGTTATTCCTTTTCAGTTGCTCTGAATACACTACCAATAACAATGACCGGATAAAATTTGGCGTCGCTGTTGAAAAGTCTCGTACTCACTTTAAATTCGGAAAAATATCTTAACGTTGAGACTTCCTGCACTTGAATAGAAATTTACTCGAGGAAAGTGACAATATTCCAGTAAACCAGACTCCAATTTCAAGCAGAACAAAAGCTGAAGAGGAGGAACTCATGTACCACCCATAAGTCTTTTCTAGGCTATCCAAGTTAATGCCACGCCGTCAAATAGCTGCTCGCTTGACTCCGAAGTTCTCCAACTTTTCGATTACTTTCAAGGTTTTAAACGAAATCTTGCCGTTACTTTTATAATGCCACCACTCACCTGCGTCCCAAAATCCTCTCGCAGTACGTATTTTCGACATATGTTCTATTTTATATAATTGCCAATGCATAAAACATGAAGTGCAACAAAACAAATCAATACTACCCCAGGCACACATTATTGTGAAGTGCTTTCGGTTTACTCAGAATGCCGTTCGATCGGAATCGTCGAGTTCTCAGATATTGCTACCATTTTGCGGAGTATCATATTCGGAAGGATTAGTTCTCCTTTCAAAAAGAAAACATCGGAATAAAATTGGAATGATCGCATTCAACTTTAAAATGCTAGCATAACTTCCCTCTTTACCCAAGAAATTGTAGAGTAATAGGAAGAGCTCGAATAGGAGACCTTTAACAGGGAGTGTCGAATTCAATCGTTTGATTCCAATCGGCAATTTTTGATATCGTTTGTCTAGGGAACATTGAAAACTGTATTCAGCGGTTTTTGAAGAAGTCGAGTTCCCAATGAGTAATTACATGCTA